ATCATATTCCTTTTGGGATATTGGAATATTCTAGAAATAATCTGGAATATTCCGGAATATCTGTGGAATATTCTCTAAATATGCGAATGGGAATTCCTCAGATAATCATAGAATATACCCAAAAGAATATTCTATGTTGAATGTTCCTGGAATATTCCAATAAACATATTCTAAAATAAAAAAAAGTGACCCAAGTAGGGATCGAACTCGTGACCTCGAGACTATCAGAGCAACGCCTTGACCACTAGGCCAGTAATCGAATTGAATAATGTTATACAAATCAAGTTCTTGTGAGAGCATTTTTCGAAATCGGATCATAAACACTTTTTGTTTCAAAATTCCCTTATATATCTAATTGATGTTCGATACTCACATCTCTGAAATAATAAATGGTATTTATGTGTTGAGAAACATAGGAATATTCATGGAATATTTCATGAATATACACCACAGAATATTCAGTTGAGAATATTTCATGAATATACCGCACAGAATATTCAGTTGGGTATATTTCATGAATATACCGCACAGAATATTCAGTTGGGTATATTTCATGAATATACAAAAAAGAATATTCAGTTGGGAATATTCCTGGAAGATTCATACCTGAATATTCCCTGAACATCACTTTGGAATATTCCTTTCAGATGTTCCAGAGGCATGTATATATTCTAGGAATAATCGATGAATATTCGGAATATACTCCTCCTTTTTAGCATATTTAGAGAATATTCTATGAATATCCAGTGCTGTCTGGGTAAAACCACGCATGATTATCAAAAATTAATGGGAAACCGACCGGATTCAAGATTCGACGTGCCTCTGCCTTGTTTACTCATATTTGAAACTAGAATAATGTGAAGAAAAAAAATATAAAAAATGTCACAGGTTTCACACATGCATATGGACAGTGTTCATTGCCCATCATTTCTATTATGTATGCATATTCCAATAACTTGGTAGATTTCAATGCCAACGAAACACAAGCATGCCTTTTCTTCAAAAAAGCCGATCTCACTGTGCCCAACATAAGCTTGTCAGAAGTAACGATACCTTTGAAGACATCCATTTCGATGCTTGGGATTACTATCAGCAATAACCTTTCTTGGGAAAATCACGTGAGATCGATTGCTAAAAGTACATCCCAAAAACTTGGTTTTCTGTTTCGCACCAGGAGCTATTTCACTTCCACTCAGCTGCTTATGATCTAATGTGATCTATAAGGCACAGATCCGACCCGTCCTAGAATAATGTTCCCATAATTGGAGTGCAGCACCCAAACATACCCTTAAACTGTTGGATTCTGTCCAAAAAAGTCCAATTCGTCTCGTGGGTGATGCCTCGCTCACAAACTCACTCACTTCTCTGGAACATCGTAGAAAAGTTGGCGATCTGGCTCTATTTTATAGATATTTTCATCATGGACGATGCTGTTCTGAAATATCAACAATTGTTCCTCCCTTGGCAGTCCCCGCGAGATTAACCCGTCGAGTTGAGCCTTCGCACCCCTTCGTGGTCACTTTGGAGACCTGCAGAACATCTCTTTCCAAAGACTCGTTTATCCAACGAACAGCGAGGCTCTGGAACACATTGCCAATGGAGGTGTTCCTTATTTCCATTGGTTCTCACGATGTTCTCTGAACATTACAGAATATCCCTTTTCGTGGGAACCAGAACATAAAAAAAGTACATTTCGAAATATCTCAGAAAAGTTGGTGACTGGTCTTCTTCAAGAAGTTGCTTCGATATATTGTTTATGAAAGTTTATCCAAGATACGTTATTCCAATTTCTAATGATGTCACAAATTCGATATTTGAATGTACACTCCATATAACTTCATCTCGACGTTATAATATTGAATTAAAATTTCAAGGAAGTTGAGTTGGGGAACTCGCAAGGCTAACAATGTGTGGATGTTCATATCCACAAAGGGGAATCCTTAATATATCTATGATTGGTCTCCAAGACGATCATCGAAGTGATGTTATTAGGTATTTCCTGCGACTTACTGTTAGTCCGCAGGTTGACTGGGATGTATGATTAAAATCAATTTTTCGGAAAAGTTCTAGGTCAGTCATCTATACATTTTACATCGCTCTCCCGTAAAATTAGTGTCCCACAAAATAAAATGTGCGGAAATATATCTTTCATACGGGATATCCAATTTGTTTATCCGACATACACTTCAGAAATGATTGATGATGGATAAGTAGATTGAATAGTCAGTCCTCCGGCCTCTATAAATTGTATGTCAATTTTATAGAAATATCAATCTAGATCCAGGTCGGAAAATATATGGATAGTAGAAGATGATATTCTCTATAGTTCTTGGATAAATATTTCTCATTGAATTAAATTGATATTCGTAACGTGAAAAAATTTTGGTTTTAGAAATGTTATAATGATAGGAATATGATTCTACAATGTAACGGTAGATATCGTATACGGAACTCAACTGGAACGAGCCAATTGACAGAGAATAATTGAAGCTTGTTGAGTTATCTTATATCCAGGTTAAAAGGAACATTTAAATATCTTCTTCATCTCACTTGTACTGTTGCCACTCGTTCTGCAGTTCGCAGGATGTCCTGAATTTGAGATGCTTTGTCTATCTTCCATTCTTTTGAGATCACATCACAATGGTTTGAGTGGAAAAAAGAAGAAGACATATATACTGCTCTTTGTGTTTTCGTAGTAGCTCCCGACTGTCAGATACGATTTGAGAGTTTCGATTTTCTCTCAAATCAATCATTGTCGTAGATGTAAAATAGAAATAGGTTATAAACACCCACTTCAATTTATTTAGCGATACACTTTTCGCAGAACAATAGTTATAAAAATGGAAAGAATTCACATAACAACATTTTAATATGACAAAATAGACACATATGGATATACTCATAGCTCATAGCTGTCCTTCCTTCCACCTAGTGCTGCATTATTTTTTTCCTGATAAATTTTGAATTCAGTCCTCAGTTTCGTTCTCAAATTTTCAATTTCATACGTAGTTTTGCATCAATTCGTCGAATTTTGTTTTGCATTTTGTAATATTGATTTCATTTTCCTCAATAGCCTGTTTTGTAAATCAATGGAACAACAGATCTTATAGATCTTCTGTTTGAAAATGGTCCTGAAAGATAGTTTTTTTCCAGTCTGCTGTTATGAGGAGTGCAAATTTCAATGTATGTACTTACCTCACAAATTTTGCCTGTCTTCAAATCAATTTTTGATCTTGGCCGTTCCATACATTCCTTCCATAAGGGAATAGTTGATATTTCCTTTGGAAAAATAAAGAAATGAAATCGTCATTTCCTCCAGAATTCCCGCTATTCATTACACAGCATGACATTGTCATTCATGCTTTCCTCTCAATAGATTATGGAATTATATTTCAATTCTGACGTTCATAATAGTATATTGTTTAACGAACACGGAATGATAGTGATATCCTAGGAGGATGAAGTCTGCAGCATGAGCTACAGGCGAATGATGCAATCATACGAGTAGGAAATTACCTTCCAGTGACTCTACATCTTACCATATGAAACTGATGCAACTAGAACAACCCTATATATCAATTATCAATAGTTGAATAGTATAATCAAAGTTTGTGAGATAGAATGTTCGCCGGTTCTGGAATTATCTTCATACCACAGACCCTCCAATAAGCACGTATTGTGGTACATGATATAATCGAAATGATATCTATCTAGATACTTTTTGATATTGGAATCTCTACCCTCTGAATACCAAATCTGAGACGCTATTCATACATTCTGTATTATTCGGTATGCACCACATTCTGAAATTGTTAGACAACTGAAATAAGTATCGTATATATTTTCTGGGAAATTCTTTCACAAATTTGAATCTGTGCTCACCTTTTCCTCATATCAACAGGGTGGCGGAGAGAAAACTTTTTATTTTCTAATGAAATTTTATTGGACAATAATATATGAATGATAAATTTTTCTGAAATCAGATTGACGGGATTCATCGAATTATGGGAAAATTATAGATCATTTCATTTCATTCCAAGAAAAAATTGTTGATGTAAAGAAAAAATCAGCACATATTCCAAAAATTCGTGAACAATTATTTCAGAAAAGTTTTTGAATAACCGGACTATGTTGAGAACTGAGAGGAATAAGGAAGGTGACACATTTAAGAGATACGCCCTGTACATACATACAGTGTATTTCAAATGTTTGATGAAAAAAGTCCTATATCTTGCAGAATCAGCTCAAGGAAAATTCATGAAATTTCATACTGGATTTTGATGAGTCCAATTCAATGGTGATATTGGCTATGTTGTTGGCCAACTTCACAATTATTCAAATATTGGGAGTAACTCAATTACTTAAAATGAAACACGCTATGTATTTTTATGCAATCAAATCATCGCCACTTTAGTATATATGTCTCCAAGAATCAGATTTCAAATTGATGTGGTTTCTGAAATACTTATGACAACATCTGAAAAACAATTGATTTGAGAGCATTGCCAATATCATAATCGAGAACCATCCTGTATGGAATTTCATGATTTCGCTCCTATCCCTTTCGAAAATCATGGACCGTTCGTAGAAATTTCAACGAGAATGCCATGTTGTCATATTTCAAAAACCACAGTAATTTGAAATATAATATTTGGAAACATAAATAATCAGGGGACACTGAATTACCCTAAATATGTGAGAAACTGTTAATTTGGCAACATTGCTGATATCACCAATGAACTGAGCATCAAGACGCTGTATATACAGAGTAGTCCAGTTTCTTACGGTGAAATATCTGAACAGATCCATAACCAAGGTATATGCCTATGCTGTATCTTTTTGAATATTCAATACGAAATAACTGTCAGTTTTTGTGAACGAAATATTCGAAAAATGTAATTTATAAGAAGTGACATTTCAAAACCTGTCAACATAGATGAAATTCCATAATTCCAAACTTTTTTCCCGTCACAAAAAAAAATGTTTTATTTTTGTTTCAGGTATTCATGGAGATGGAGATGGATATTTTGGTCCATGGCGAACCTGCAAAATGTTGTTATATAATAGAGAGAGGTGTGGGAAAGATGAAACCCGCTTCAAAGTGTCAGGTCAGTATGAAACTGTCATGAATATAACTCCTTCCTTGCACTAAATGGTTTCATTGCCTGGAGAAATGATCATGGAGGATTATTTTCACCCGTAATAATAAAGTTAATGGAGCATGAAATCTTCAAAACGATCTACAGAAACGCAAGGGAAGAAAAGAAGAATTGAACAACGCAATTGTCACATAAAACTCCAGGCCATCTACCTAATTGAAAATTCTATGTACAGGCAGTGAAACAAATCGGGCCAATCCAGAATGATCTCATAACTTCAAAATTTGCTCAAAACCTAGACCGATTGACGATGATGGATTGATGGCTATTAATGAATTACCAAAACAGTAGAATGTATTACTCAGTTACTTTTCAACATCTGATGCCGATGTCATTATAATATTATTGACGTCATATGTCAATTACTCGTCAATTATGTTTCATAATCACGAAGTACTATTCAAAATAATTTTCGAATATCAAGGTCAGTTTTGTCTATGAGCCAGTTGTTAACCTCTTATTGTTGTCAATTTTTTTTATATTTTCTCGAACAAATACGAATATTTTTGTATTCAACCGATGTGATGATTTTCTGAATAATTCAATGCGAGTAAATTTCACATAACGATCTCTGGATATCTAGTGCATATAGTTTCCATCCTGGTCGCCTTTCGATATTGAATTTGAAATTAAACTGAGATGTCTGGGAACGATCAAGTTACTGATTTCCCTCGAGGTTATTCAGTTTCAGCTCTTTCACCCACTAACAACACTATCACCAGTTCGGATGGTCGGTTAGGGAGACGTTCACGAACTAATAAATCATATCATTCATTGCTAATCATTGAAACTTCTCTCTGGCATAGTTCAAGAATTCATTTCCAGAGATCAATACACGCCTATTCTTCGAACCAATGAGATTTCTTCGATTTTCTAAAATCGACCAATCACAATCTATCAGGTAATCCAAAAGATGAGGTGGACACACTTGATGAGTCAGGAATATACAAAATTAGTTGTGATAATTGTGATAAAACATACATAGGCCAAAGCAGGAGACCCATAAAAACAAGGTTCAAAGAACACCTAGCATGGTAGGTTAGATGAATTTTGTGTAGCCGAACATAAGTTCAATCACAATCATAACACATATATCGATAAACTCAAATTAGTTAAGCAAGTTAATGATGTTTGAAAATTGGATGCATATGATAGCCTAGAGATATTTAGCCCTCTGTATAGCTTGGTCATATAAGATCAGGGTGAACATGTTAGTATATTTCACGGTAGGGTAGACATATACCTAGTATATAAATAGCACACTAGAATAGGATATTTAATTTTCTTCTCCTGAAGATGCGAACATGGTTAGCGGAACATGTGTGGAGGTGTATAAAAAATCGGTTTGGTTAATGATGGAACAGTGTAGTGTAGGCGCTTTTGAAGTGATAAAAAACTACCTATAGCTTTTGCAATAACCGATAAATAATATACACCTTGCTTCCAATCAACAGATAGACAGATAATTTTTGACTTTCTTCACAACGTCCTTTCTTCTTCAAACCAAACTGTCTTCATACTGTATAGTTGTGTATCAATCTCCCTAAAATACATTCGAGAAATGTTTTTATTGATAAATACATTTCAAATTGTATTGAGATTTTGGCGAAAAAGCTCGAATGACAATGAAACTTCCATACAATATTTAAACATATATTTATCGATGAAAATATCATCGTCTATGTATTCAACACCGATGATGAAGACTTTAGAGACTTTTCTCAACAAAATATACCATAACTCAAATACAGGGCGTTGAAGTTTCATGAAAATAAAAACAGTTTTATTTGTAGGCGAGGGGGAGACCACCTCTGAAAAATATGTACACGTATTGCGGAAATCCCATGATTTCAGCGATTTCAGAGAATTCTTTGTAAATTGTTGCGATTTCTGAGGATTGCGAACTGAATTCAGTGATTTCAGAGTGATTACAGGGGCTGCAATGGGATTGTAAAATTATATTGAGGATTGCGAGACGATTTCCGCGATTGTGGGTTCATTTGCTAGCTTGATTGCAATGGTGAATTTCTGAAATTAGAGTTTATATGTGATTTAATTCAATTACCACATAGGTAATCCTTTCGAATTGTAGAGCATCTACCTAATTATTCAAGCATGACGGATTATACAACCAAATAAAGTATCAACATAATTGAAGAAAATTTGGAATTATTGAAAAACCATTTTGTCTCATATAAACATTTTTATTATTCTTTCAACTCTGGTGTTTTTCATTTTATAAAAGTGAACATAGCATAATTATTATACTGGCATTCATGTTAGCGAATTGACTGTTTCTTTGAATCTTTGTATTTTTTCTCAATATTCATTATATCATTTCTTTTAAGGCGGAAAGGTCCATTACCGACTAAGTGGATTGGCCCATACAATATGTACTTTTTTTCTACAACTTGGATATCTTCCTTATTAGGCCATATACAGGGTGATCCACGGTGGATGTCCTATTAGAAGTATCTGGAGAAGGAACAGACAGTACATTCTGAAAATTGCGATTCTTCGATAATTGAACATTCTCTATCCATCTGAAATATTTTCATCGATGCAGTGTTGCCACTGCTATCAGAAACAACTAGCAACTTTGTTATTTCGAATGGAACACCCTGTATTTTATTGCATTTTTAGATTCTTTCTAAAGAGCTGATTTTATCGATGTATCACACTTGGGGTCTAGCAGGAATCATTACAGAGACATAAGGTGTTCAAAATCGAGATTTTTCAATTTTAAGATTTTTTTGTGTCGAAACTATTCATTATCGATCACCCTGTATCTGTTCCAATTAAATGTCAGTAGATAGTGAATCGAAAGTTAAGATAGGGACATGAAAACCGTTTTGATCAATAATGAATACTCTCGACACAAAAAAATCCTGAAATTGAAAAATCTCGATTATGAACACCCTATATCTCTGGAATCATTCCTGCTAGACCCTAAGTGTGATACATTGATGAAATCAGCTTTTCGAGGAGAATCTAAAAATTTAATACAGGGTGGTCTATTTAAAATAACGAAGTTGCTAGTTGTTTCTGATAGAAGTGGCAACACTGTATCGATGAAAATATTTTAGACGGATAGAGAATGTTCAATTATTGAAGCATCCCATTTTTCAGAATGTTCTGTCTTTTCGTTCTCCAGATACTTCTAATAGGCCATCCACCGTGGATCAGCCTGTATACATATCCAGCTCCGATTTCAAAAACTCAATTCTAAAGGTATCATTTTCGAAGATCTCTAAAATACGTCCAATATACCAGGTGTCATAAATAGCTGCATAATACTTTTCAATGCATATTGACGTTTCTTTCTCTCCATTTGATTCTTCCTCCGAAAAACTTTCATTTTCAAATTTTGATTTCTCAGAATAGCATACGTCACTTTCACTATCCGAGGTTTCCTCAACATGATGATTCGTCGATTTTTTTGACGGTTTGTTGTTCTGTTTTTTCTTTGTGGCAGAAGAAGTGGAATTATTCATTTGACCAAGATTTTGACTTCGTGTTGACATACCTCGACAACGAATTTTTTTGTCAGATGATAGTTTCCCTTTTTTGTCAGCAAAGAACCAACATAATGTCGATTTTTTCACACAAAACTCAAACTACACTAGAGATTCTTCAACGATTAACGTATAACCGAAAAACAACATAACATATAATATACCTTCGTTGGTTTACCGCAAATGGTCGTATCCCCTCCATCATTGAATTCGATGAATTCCGCGATTGCGGAAGCGATTGCGAAAGCGATTGCGGGATTGCGGGATTGCAGATAGGGATTTCGGCGATTGCAAATTGACTGCGGGATTTCAGGGGATTTCAGTGACGATTGCAAGTGATTTCAGACCAAATGTACACGTATTGCAGAGAGTGGTCGCCCCCTCGTTTGTAGGTATATGAAGCAATAAATAGATGATCAAATTTATTCATCCCAATTCTATGATTATATATTTCATGACGATGTTTTAACTGTCGTCTCAATTCGTTTGAGTATTTTTGAGTCCTATTGTAGACGCGAGTACTGTGCCAAATTTAAAGAAGCTCACTCTTGTAGTTCTCGTGATATGCCATATAAGTCATGGTTGTATTTGGGACATATGTTCATATTTTGCCAGTACAATTAATACATAAAAATCTGGATCATCCTATAAAATGAAGATATTGTGTTTTTGCAGTTACCGTTTGGGTAGCTGGACTGGTGGCTGCCATAGGAGTGGCAGTACTGGGTGTATTTTGTATCCTGAGCGTTCTCCAACTAGCCATGTTGAGTTCGAAGGAACAAGTAGTCATGAAATATAGCATAGTTGTGATAACCAAAGTCGGATTGGGCCTACTTGCTGGTAAGATATGAGGACATATTTTTGGCTCATCTTGTATACTAAATGCAGTCGAATTCCTTTACTTTTCCAGCATTATTGGCCACAGCAGCAGCCGGCCTATTTGCCTTGCAAATCGACGATAGAGAACATACTGGATTCGAGATCAGTCGAGGACCAGGGTTCTATATTCAGGTCAGTAGCTTCATAGTAGCTTTAGCTTCCCAATTCCCTACCCTATACGCAAAATAGAGGGTGTCTCCAGTTTACTCTAACAGTTGCTAGCTCTGAATCATTCAATCTTAGTATATTTCGATACTATTTCAAATCTATATATGAAGTAGAGAAATCGAATGACACCTGCTCTGCAGGCAACTGATCACTGCTCACTTATTAACTCAGATAAATCAAATATGATGATATTCACAACTCGAACTGATCGCCAAATCACAAATCATATTGATATTAAAATTCACGATGAGTCTCTTACTTTAGTTGAAGAGGCAAAAAGTCTTGGTGTCGTATCGGATGCTGATCTTAGATTCGAAATATGTATATGGCAACAGGCATCTTCTTCCTTCATCAGTAAAAGCTTTATTATGCGAAACACTTGTTTTAGTCCCAATTTAACACAAACTTATAAGGATCCAAAAAGTACAAAGCTCTTGTCTTCGTCTGATTCAAGGAATCAGGAAGCGCAAAAGTATTTTACATAAATTACGTGAGACTGGCTGGTTGAACATGGAAAATAGGAGATTTTTTCATAGTGCTTGTCTATATCATAAAATTATAGTAGCAAGAGTACCGCCTTATTTTCATGAAAAAATAACGCATAGAACGGAGGTCCATAACTTGAATATCAGATTCAATGTTACGCTCACACCACCTCTATTCAGAACACAAGCATTCAAACGTTCGTTCAGTTATCAAATAAAAAAAATGTATAATATCGTCCCCCAACATTTTAAGAAAGAGAAAATTAATATTTTCAAAATCAGATTGGAGAGGTTCATATATTTAAAACAAAACAATAAGTTAATGATGGTGTTTTTTATTTTTTCTCGCATTTTATTCTATTGTATTCATTTTATTCAGGAATAATATGTTAATAACATTTTCTTACTGGTTAAGATTAGAGTGAGTTTAGGATATTGAACATGGAGTAATTTTTCTGGGTTAAGTGGAAGAACAACTCATTTAGTGAATTTATTCGCTAAATGAAGTGAACTTCGCCCTTCATTTTGATGTAATTTCCATTGTACCATTTAATTGTAACTAAATTAAAAATAATAAAGACGTACATTATTATTATTATTATCTTCTTGCAGGCTTCTTTATCATATTCTTGAAGTGATTAATATCTGTCAGTCTAGGTCTGTTATTTGATTTCAACAAATGGGCGTGTACACCTCAGTAGAACTTTTAACTCAAACCATGTTTATAATGATCCTTTTATACATAAATAATGATTGACGACATAATTCGATCGAAAAATTAACTGGAATGTTTTATTTTTGAACATAAATAATAGTACCCTCTCAAAACGGACCCTCTTATGACGTAGAAACCTCATCTCGCCATAGTTAAAAGAAAATACCAAACGCCCGACGGAGACTGAGGCAACTGATATATTAATTCTTTCAACTGTGATCTCGCGCTAATTCACTATGTCAGAAATCATGTATCATTCATATTTGTCTAGAATAGTCTTGTTTCAGTATTAGGGTTCTGACGTCACATCATCGCCTCGTTTTCAGAGGTCCGAAAAATCGGGGATTTCAATAATTTTTTATAAAACGTAGGGAGCTCACAACAAGAAACGGTTTGCGGTGGTGAGCTAGTTAGGGTGAGTTCTATCGAATTATGAAATAAAAATTTTTTGTGATATAAGCCCATTGCTAATTCATTGGTTGTTTAGTAATTTACGTAACCGCGATGACGGAGACGGTGTTATCGGCTTATTTTTCGGAATCATAGCACAACAAAAGCCATCAAAAGTGTGTATATATATATATTTATTTGACTAATATCCACCTGTCAACTGATATGAAATTTCAAACTTTCTTTCCCTCACAAAAATGTTTTAAAATTCCGAACTCACTCAACACAATTGTATCTTCTCTCAAAAAGAAGATAATGACGTGAATCAAAAACCATTGTGTTAAAAAGGGACAAAAGGGATCACACTTCAATCAAATACATGATGAATCAGAAGGTTGGAGGATGGTTCTGAATCATTTCATGTATTCCATACTTTTTTAAATACTTGTATTTTTCTTGAAAAGAGATATTGACGTGACTCAAAAACCATTGTGCTGATAAGGGATCGCACTTCAATCCAAAACATAATGAAGCTGAGTTCAATCGCTCACTTCTGCCACAGGGCGTTAAGAATGATCGAGTCATCAGCTTTAGAAGAATAAAAAATCAGGTGAACACTGCGAAATATAAATCTACAATTCGGTCGAAATTTCACCAGAACCATAAAACAATTAATTTTTTGCTGGCCGCTTTTTTTGACGGTGAGTGTACATTCAAAACCCTTCATCAACATACAAAAAAATTATTCAAATTAGAATAGACTCGAAAAAATTAGAGGCAAGCATGTCGTACTCAAGGATAATATTCATGCGTTTCTTTGGGACACCTTGTATTGAAGAAATATAAAGGATTCGCGTTGAAGGGCATTTGATACTTTTTGATATCTTATATCACTACAGAGAGAATTGTTATCCAAGTCTAGAGTCTAGAGGCGTTTGTTTGTTGAAGGATCAATATATCGAAAGAGATATTGAAAAAGTTTCTTCCTTTGAACCAAAAGCAGTACAGGCTTCAGGGTAATAGGGTAGGTACATACACTCGAGATCCTATGAAAGATATTGGAAAATAAAATTATATTTATTATTATGTCCTCCTGTCTAATATATTATGACTTTCACAAAATAGGCAGCTCAATATACAAGTAATTTTCCTACGGCCACTATATAGATAGTAGGCAAGAACACATGAGATATCGCACAGTTCAAGATTCAGAATTCTGTTCACCCTGAATCTGTCCCAATTAAATGTTAGTAGATAGTAAATCACAAGTTGAGATAGGTACATGGAAGCCGTTTTGACCAATAATGAATAGTTTCGACACAAAAAAATGCTAAAGTTGAAAAATCTCGATTTTGAACACTTTATATCTCTGAAACCATTACTGCTAGACCCCAAGTGTGATGCATTGATGTAATCAGCTCTTCGGGGACAATCTAAAAATGTAATAAAATACAAGGTGTTACATTCTAAATAACAAAGTTGTTGCTTCTTTTCGTTAGAAGAGGCAACGCCGCAGGGCTGAAATTATTCTAGAACGATGTCCCCCTCGAAAATGTAGTTGATGTGTTCCAGATATTTTTGAAAATGCTTTCAGTTCAGGAAATATCGAATTTGTTCCATACTTTACGGACACAGTGTATAAATACATTACATATTTTGTCTGTTGGATCAATTTATTTTTTATTTATTTATATATACATTTCAAGAGTTGTCAACAAGTGTATGATTTCAGAACAAGTGTTGTTCATTTATTTATTTTTTATGTATATTATGTGTATAACAAGCTTTGTATGCCAGACAAACTATTGCATGTGTGCCCTTTATTCGATGCATCTTATTGAACTATAGTTTTTATTTTTTAAATCAACTTTACCTTACAGATTTTGTTGATAGTTTTGAATGCAGCCTTATTCGTCATGGCCCTCTATGACATGTTCTTCGCTAGAAGAGAGGGCGGAGACCCCACAACAGTATCCATGCCAGCAGAAGCCACAACTTATGGCAACCCTGGTTTTAGAGATCAACGGACAAATGGTATTTAAAAACAAAGTACTGAGTATAGTAACCGCGTTTGTCAATTTGTTCATAAATGTTGAAGTTATTGGACAAAACTGAATATAATGCCAGAAAAATAGGTCCAAAGATCATAAGATCGAAAATTCCAAAAATCCAAACATCCATAAATTATAAACCAAAAATCAAGAAATCAGAATCAGTCAAGATATTGAAAAATCGAAAAATCAAAGAATCTAAAAATCTTAGGATGTGAAACACAAACTCGAGGAACAAAAAATCCAAAAATCAGTTGATCAAAAATCAATAATCCACCAATCGATTATAATGAATCAGAATTTCAAAAAATCAAGGTCAAAAAATCAAAAAATCAAAAAATCAAAAAATCAAAAAATCAAAAAATCAAAAAATCAAAAAATCAAAAAATCAAAAAATCAAAAAATCAAAAAATCAAAAATTCAAAAATTCAAAAAATCAAAAAATCAAAAAATCAAAAAATCAAAAAATCAAAAAATCAAAAAATCAAAAAATCAAAAAATCAAAAAATCAAAAAATCAAAAAATCAAAAAATCAAAAAATCAAAAAATCAAAAAATCAAAAAATCAAAAAATCAAAAAATCAAAAAATCAAAAAATCAAAAAATCAAAAAATCAAAAAATCAAAAAATCAAAACATCAAAAAATCAAAACATCAAAAAATCAAAAAATCAAAAAATCAAAAAATCAAAAAATCAAAAAACTGAAAAATCGAAAAATCAAAAAATCGAAAAATCGAAATATCGAAAAATCGAAATATCGAAAAATCAAAAAAAAGAAAAATCGAAAAATCAACAAATCAAAAAATCAAAAAATCAAAAAATCAAAAAATTAAAAAATCAAAAAATCAAAGAATCAAAAAATCAAGAAATCGAAAAATCAAAAAATCAAAAAATCAAAAAATCAAAAAATCAAAAAATCAAAAAATCGAAAAATCAAAATATCAAAAAATCAAAAAATCAAAAAATCAAAAAATCAAAAAATCAAAAAATTAAAAAATCATAAAATCAAAGAATCAAAAAATCGAAAAATCAAAAAATCAAATAATCAAGAAATCAAGAAATCAAGAAATCAAGAAATCAAGAAATCAAGAAATCAAGAAATCAAGAAATCAAAAAATCAAAAAATCAAAAAATCAAAAAATCAAAGAATCAGAAAATCAAAAAATCAAAAAATCAGAAATCAAAAAATCAAAAAATCAAAACATCAAAAATCAAAAAATCAAAAAATCAAAAAATCAAAAAATCAAAAAATCGAAAAATCAGAAAATCAAAAAATCAAAAAATCAAAAAATCTAAAAATCAAAAAATCAAAAAATCAAAAAATCGAAAAATCAAAAAATCAAAAAATCAAAAAATCGAAAAATCGGAAAATAGAAAAATCAAAAAATCAATAAATTCTAAAAATCAAAAAATCAAAAAATCAAAAAATCAAATAATCAAAAAATCAAAAAATCAAAGAATCAAAAAATCGAAAAATCAAAAAATCGAAAAATCAAAAAATCGAAAAATCGAAGAAATCGAAGAATCAGAAAATCAAAAAATCAAAAAATTAAAAAATCGAAAATTAAAAAAATCGAAAATTCAAAAAATCTAGAAATCAAAAAATCGAAAAAAATAAAAATGAAAACATCAAAAAATCGAAAACTCAAAAAATCAAAGAATCGAGGAAACCGAAAAATCAAAGAATCAAAGATCAAAAAAATCGAAAAATCAAAAAATCAAAAAATCAAAAAATCAAAAAATCAAAAAATCAAAAAATCAAAAAATCAAAAAATCAAAAAATCCAAAAATCAAAAAATCAAAAAATCAAAAAATCAAAAAATCGAAAAATCAAAAAATCGAAAAATCGAAAAATCGAAAAATCGAAAAATCGAAAAATCGAAAAATCAAAAAATCAAAAAATCAAAAAATCAAAAAATCAAAAAATCAAAATTTCAAAAAATCAAAAAATAAAAAATCAATTGAATCAAAAATCAATCAAAAAATCGAACTGGTCGAAAAATCGAGAATTCAAATAATCATGAAGTCAAAATAATGGTCTGAAAATCGAAGTCAATAAATCAAAGAACTCTTTTTCTCCTTCAGGCGCTGGAGGCGTTTCCATGACCGACGCCAGCGGCAAACCCTACGTCTCCAACGGCAGCATGGCCTCCATGAACACCGCCTCCACGACGGTGGGCTCCACCAACGGCTCCACGGTGACGTCATCCATCACAAGGTCGCCCCTGCGGTCCAGCCTGAAGAAGCCCAAACCGCCCAAGGAGGGATTGGGCATCCAGAACCCGGGCTACTCGGGTTCATCGCCGCCTATGTCAAGGAACGGCAGCATGAAGAAAGTGCGGATACAGACTCACAGTACAGAAGTTTAACAGAATAGAGGACGATGTCTTTTATATACATATCGATAATTCTACAGGGTGTCCCGAAATTAGATAGAACACTTTCAACCATAGATTCTAGGAACAAAAATAGTACAAAATAGTATATAGTGCAACAAGTGGGGAAAGTACAACTTTTCTCACGAGTGTGGAATTTTTGGCAGCTTTTTCCATTATCTCTGTCTCTGGCGGTGTATTGATGGAAACTGCGATTTTTATCAAAAGCACTAATAATGAGAAATACCCTGAAGAATTTAAACAAAATTTTCTGACAATTGTGACAACTATTCAGACCAGCTAATTAGGTTCGATTTTTATTGATTCTCCATGGAAATGTGTATGGTGTTGGCAAAGTGCCGTGAGAAAAAATATTTCTCACAGTATGAGCAATACATGGTTTTGAAACTAAGTAAGCTATGAGAAATGCCCTACTTTTTATAGCAGTAGTAGAAAATAGTATATTGTGCAACAAGTGGGAAAAGTTCATCTTTTCTCACGAGTGTGAAAGTTTGTGGCACGAGCCTGAAGGGCGAGTGATGCAAACACATGAGTGAAATAGTTCGTGTTGATTTTTCTACAGTTTTGAACAATGTTTATTCGAGTTTACAGTATAGTTGCAATAATGAAGGTACTCAGGCCGTTTTGATAAAAAGCACCAAAAATTAATATTTGTTGTAAAACATCATTCAGTTTTGTTAATGTTCCATCATTTTTACAATTAGTAGGTAATGAAAACATTTTTTTAATTAATTTACGTTTTTCTTCGTCCTGCAAGCAGTTTTTCGTGTCTTGTGCTGAATTTGGTAAATAGCAGTAAGGCCCTTTTGCATATTTCACTCTTCAAATATGGAAACATTTTCACTAGAAAATGATACTCTTGTTCATCATTTTTGCGATGAATCGATTCTCAAATTCTGCTGCTAGATAAAAATAGTGCTCATTTTTCATAATAGGTTTCCGAATTTTCCCAGAAAGTATGTTTTGATAGAAAAAACACCCTCGAAAACACCCTTTTTACAACATCTACTTGTGATGTTCGATTTAAAATTTGGGGAGGATAATATAGGAATAATAAATTGAAAAATAACAGCGCATAGGTTCCCAATTGAGAAAACGTATAGTTTTTATTGAGCAGCAGACGTTTAAAATAGATTCATCTCGAAATTGGTGACATTGGTGAGTGCCATTGAAACTAAGCAGGGATACAACGTTCAAATGAAAATGGTGAAATATTCATATTTTTTTGTCAAACTGCCGAAAATAGCATGTATAAAAGAAATTGGGAGAAGAAGTGCCCCTAGCCACACTTATGTTCCACGGCTCTGATAAAATTTTGGAAAAATCTTGATCTCTTCAAATAGGGCATAAAAAGTAAGGTACATATACAGAATTTGGCTATTTCATCACAGAGGGTTATCAAAATATTTACAAAAAACCTTCACCTTCAGAGCCCCAGGGGGTCATTCCAAGAAACATGTTTAATTAAAACTTTTTTGACTATTTTTGTTCCTAGAATCTGTGGTTGAAATCTTTCTATGTAATTTTGGGACACCCATATGCCAGTGTCGCCATTAGTTCCGCATCAGAAAAGGAATGTTTTATTGAGTCATTTATGCTAGTTTGATTCCATAAAATTGTGCGGAATTCTGTCGATAACACTCTGAGAGCAGGCCAGGATACACAAATCTATGATAATTACTATGATATGAAACCGAAAGTCAATGAATATGAATTTTGAAAAGCATTCAAATTCCAGGAAACTATTGGTCACAATGGCAACTATGTATAGGGTGGCTGGAATTCGTGACTCATCATTGGGTTCTCGTAAACCGTGAAAGATAAAGGGTCGGTTAAATTATGATGAAGTTGCGCCATTTTGTGCCTAACAAAACGCCATTTTGAAACTAATGTATCATTATCAAAAAGCCAAGGTCGAAAAATCAAATTATTCCGAGAATATTTCGCCCCCATCTGAAAGATAATATCCCATGGACCAGTGTGAATCTCAACATGTGTATTAGAATACTTGAAGTGTGAGCATCAAGTGAGTTCCACACTGGTTCATCGAATATTATCTCTCTCGTTATCACATGACGGAAGTATGTCTGGAATGATAGGAGCCAATAAATCGCTGTGCCGTCAATTTGGCTCAGACTGAGTGGTGGCACCGGTAAGTTTTTGAGATCTATACCATTCAATTGGTACAGGATCGAATAATTTTCATCTTGTTATCAACTCGCGAAATCGAGTACAAATTTCCGCACAGGAAAGTGCAGTTTTTCTATTATTTCGCTCAGGATAGTGATTGACACAGGTTTCGTTCGATAAACTAAAATGTTTTTTTTTTACTTTTCTTCAGGACATTTATCTTTTGGTTATGAAATGTCGGTATGAATCTGCAGCTGCACTATCAGGCAGGAGGTTATTTCAAAGAGATCAGATCCTGTGTGTTTTGAAACACAAAATGAATTATTGGTCCAACTATTCTATAAATTAATTAAATCAATACCTGACTCAGTTTCGACTATTGGGTTTTGGTGTTCAACTTTGAAGTGATATGATAAGTGTCTATAGTGCATTCATGTATTTAAAAATTATGCACAGGGAGTAACTTTATATCACACTCAAAATTATTTGTAAATTCTGAGAAGGTATACCTATTACACTGATTAGTACTTATTTTCACGATCGTACTACGAGTATATATGCGTCTATGCAATTGATATATAGTACAAAGTGAATATCTATTTGAATTTGCTTTTGGAGCTTTTTTACGTCTGAGATTATGAAATGTATTTTTTTATAAATTGACAAAGAGTGCTTTTGATATACGTTTTTTCGAAACTATATTTAGTTCTCGAGTCGAATAATTTTAATTTTACTGTGAAAATCCGTCCATGATTATTATTGTAAGGAAAATGTTGGTATTTGATTTTGTGTTTAACACATCTATATATTTTATTGTTACCATTCCTAGAATGGTCAATTTATTGACATATTGTTTTATTGTTATCATATTTTATAATGATTTACATTTAAAATATAAAATAAAAAAAAATTAGTGTGAGGGCTGACATCAATTGTTGTATGGTAAGTAATATTTTGTAAATATTTTTATCTGAGATTTCACCATTCATTTTAGATATTGCAAATTATGAATTCAATTCAAAGCTTGATTCCATTAAAAAAATGTGATACTAATATAAATTGATCATTGCTCAAAAAAACCTTCACCTTGATCCTTATATCCATTTTGATATGACACAGACAGTTGAAAAATTTTGCAATCGTTGCAATGAAACAAAATATCATCAGTTGGTGGATGATTTAATTCATCTATATCAACACAAATTCGACATAAATTCTTAAAAAATAAATAACAGATTCTTGAAGACAATAAACACTATAAGACTAGACTAGATTTATCACTTGAATTATATACAACAGTATTTGAACACATGAATCAATTTTCGAAAAATTCATTCACTTTGAAGGCACACTCGAAATCAGTTCTCTTCTTTTGTACACAGGGCCGCTCTGAGAAGAGTTGGCTTTTTCTTCACGTTTAGCTTGAGAAGAAGCCGACTCTATAGTTTCAGCATCAGGAATATGCCTAGTCTGATGCCTGGAATCAGTGTACCTCCTCTTCGTATATTTCTTCTTCTCTCTTTCCACAACAGAACTCGTCCCCGAAGATTTCGTTTTTCCCGAGTCCACCTTGATTATCCTCTCGAAATCGGCAGTTCTCGACCTCAGAACAGCATTTCCTATACTAGTAATGCTAGGCGTATACCTAGGCTCTCTTTCCACCTGCCTAGCCACCTCTGGAACGGCCTTAGGCTCAGCAACTTTTTGCTTGGTGAGAGAAACCTGCCTCTGGTAGCTTGCTGACTGGTCTTTCGATTCCTTGATCTGCTGTGGCTCCTGCGTGGAAGAAAATGATACTTTCTGCACACTAGGCACAGATTCCTTGGTGATTCTAGTCGCCTTCAACACGTGATTATCTTCTGGGATGTAGTTCACCGAGGTTTTGGTGCTATCGGGAGACGTAGGAGGACTAGAAGTCCACGAGGGTGGTGAGCTGTAGACCCCAGCATCAGCTATACTGCCAGAAAGTGAGGTTGGGGTGTTCTGGATAGGGCTGGAGTAAGTAGCAGACGATCCCACAGCCGAATCGTATCCTGGGATGACGTAGATGGAGCCTGTGACCGCTTGAGCAGTGGAAGTGGCCGATGAATCACTGCCAATAGAGTGGTTCCTTCTTCGAGGAGGGGCTGTAGGGGTTCTGACCAGCCCTACCGTAAGCTGCTGCCTGCAGTTCTCTCCCTCCTCAATGTAAGGAATGTCTTCGTCGATATTGTAGGAGAGCGCTTGGTTCTGAGGCATGGGGATGGTGAGGCTGGCTGTTATCACCCCGCTGTTGTCTAGGACGTAGGGAGAGGATTTCCGCCTCTCGTAAACGTCATCGGAGGTTCTGATGACTCGCGTGAGGTCTGAGTCTGTGTGGGTGGAGCTGGTGCTTTCCAGGGAAGAAGATCTGTTCTTGGCGTAGTTGTAATCCTCGTCCTTTTGTCCTTTGAGGCGGGAGATGATGGTCAAGGCTGAGGCTAGGCCGCCATCTTCTTTTTCTCGCTCTCGGCGACGTCTTGTGCTTCTTTCACGTATCCTGTCCTTATGCCTGAAAATATAACAAGTATGTTATAGAAATAAATGATAACTGTGAGAAAGCTTAAAATTATTACTTGAACAACATAAACGTACAGCCATCGGAAATTGTTATGAGGTTTCTCCAAGTTACAGGGAGATGAGGTTGAGAACATGAATAGAAACACCTTATGTTCACCCTGATAGTGATGGCAAAAATCAGTCTGTGATGTCCCGATTCTCATGGTACCACAATTCTCAAATAAAATCTATCACGGTCATGTATTTTGAAACAACCTGTATGTGAATACATTCAGCGGTGTTGAATCGAAAAAATTTACCTTATTCTCATTCCCATGTTTGGACCACCGGTCGCAGCTGCTTCATGAAGGAATTCTTCCCTGGAATAGGTTTTCCTCTGTTCTGTGGACGGAGATGGTCTTACATCGAAAATGCTATCTAGTGGTGGATCAGTTGGAGGAGCAGTCGGAGTCCAAGGAGCTGAACTGCTTTCGCTGTCCAGTTCATCAACAGATCTAAGAAACATTGATAAATAAATATACTCAAATCCTTACATTAATTCCACCCCGGTACTTACTCGTCTGCTGCCAATGTACCGTCCCTCTTGTTGAGTATTTGGTCCAGAGCTTCCGGATGAGAGTCCATCATGTGCAGATAGACCTCATCTAGTAGTTCAGCAGATATGGTGTAGATTGTTTTGTAGTGATCGATCAGCGATCTCACCACGTTGATCACATCTAATCTATCTTCTGGTCTGTCAGCGCCATCTTTCGCTCCTGGCTTTATGCAGTGCAAAATGTTTGGAGCAAAGACTGTTGCTAGGTTGGTGGAATCCATTTTGTTGCCCAAAATGTCCTCACCTGAAAATTCATAACTTTTTAGTTCTATGGCTCGTGTGAAAGTCTGCTGTCTGTTGACTAGTAGGCTGATCGTATTTTTACCATATCTTTACCTGCTTCATCCTTGACGTCATTGGCATTTCTAGCAACCAGAGATAAAAAACTCATCAATGCGTGGAGGGTGTCTCTGTTCACAGGAGGAAGTAGTTGTACAAGATGTTGAAGAGCCTCAAATTGCAATCGTCTATTGCGTATCCCTAAAATGGATGCATATTTATCTCCTCTTCTTATTTTTGTTTGATGATGTCTTACTTTGTGTTTGGACGAACGCTTGGTAGAGGTCTCTGCAAAGAAGGGGGTCGGGAAGATCCCTGAGGTACTCTTTCAGTAAAGTAGCTACATCGTGCGGGCTTTGGTCTTCCTCTAAGGTGGTTTCTTTACCACAGTCGAAGTCCTCTCGTAACTAATACAAAGATGACTATTATGAAAATATTGAAAACCCACTGATTATATTCATTTCATCAAGTAGGTATATAGATCAAGTTAGTAGGTATGCCCTAGGAACCACAGCTGATATAAGTATGAAAAACTTTGAATTTGGGAGAATATTTTGATTTGCGTATATATGATTATAATTGTGGAATATCCATAAAGATATTCAACGGAAGCTTTCGATCGTTATTGAATAGTGACCCAGTAATGATTTGTCATCCACTATAACATCACTAGAATATTTGTTTCTGCTCGTTCTTATTCCTCTTTTTTTTCATCAAAGGTTAATATTATAATTTTTCTTCAACATCATTTCACATACCTGCCGAATTCTTTTTTTCGAAGTACTGACCCTGAAGATACCTAGGGTATGTAGTCCATGTTGCTCCAAATGTCTGAAACATTCTGTTAGAATATTTGGAACAGCGGATTCGTCCTCCAGAACGCTTGCAGGAATATCTGCTTTGGATCCGCAGGATATCGTGTCCAAGAGTCCTGGTACACTACCCACCATCCTGTTCAGCAGGAGGAGATTGTCACTGGAACCTTTCTGAAATGAAGGTGATATTAAACACCAACTGCATCATATTATCAGTAGTAATACTATAAGTTATCCAAAATACTTGTTGAAACTTCTGAGCTCTTATTTGGAAAATCGTCATCAATATGTCGTCATAAATAGCTGTCATTCTGAATCGAAACGTATTACCTCAGGGGTTCCACAAGGGTCTCACCTGGGGCCGCTCCTTTTCAATATATTTCTCAATGATATTGAGACTTGTTTTGAAAACACCAAAATCGCATTGTATGCTGATGACTTGAAGGTGTATAAAGATATTAACTCACTTACTGATTATAAGGGTTTACAAACTGATCTTAATCACTTCGGGAAATATTGTGCACTGAACAAACTTCAATTAAATTTGAATAAATGTAATAAAATACTTTTCACTAGGAATAAATCTCCTCTAGTTTCGGATCTTTACCTGAATGGTGAACGGATTGTTGACATAAATCTAATAAAAGATCTAGGAGTATATCTCGACACCAAACTTGCGTTTGATGTGCATATTGAAAAAACTGTTCAAAAGAGTCTGAGGAATCTGGGTTTCTTGTTAAGGGTGACAAGCAGTTTTAAAAGCAGAGAATCGATCATAGTTCTGTATAACTCCATTGTTAGGACATCTCTCGAGTATGCATCCATTGTCTGGAACCCCTCTTACAATGTATATATTGAACGAATTGAAAGAATACAGAAGAAATTCATCAATACCCTGAATTTCAGATTTTCAAGATGGAGGCATTATTTTTCTTATGAAGAAAATTTGAAATTTTATAAAATTGAATGTCTCTCCTTGAGAAGAAAATTTTTCGATATAAGTTTTGTTTACAAATTGCTTAATAATTATATAGATTCTCCATACTGTACTAATAAACTCTCTCTGAACTGTACTCCTTATGGGGTAAGAAATAGATTACTTTTTGTATCTGGAAGAAGTAGTACCAACTTTGTCTTCAACTCTCCAATGTATCGTTGTGTCAGATGTTACAACTCTTCGCTATGCGATAACAATGATATCGACGTGTTCTCGACTGCACTACTCACTTTCAAGAGGAAATTAAAAACAATTTTATTCTGTTGAGAACACTTCGAATCTTCAAACTCGTACTGATAGGTGGATATACAGGCTCGATAATGTGTTATTGTTTTATTATTATTATTATTATTTTTTTTTTTTTTCCTATCTGATGAGGTTATCTTTTATTTCGTTTTTTCTTTCTTCTTAATTGGAAAATTACCTATTTTATAGTCTATTACTCTGTAGTATATAGTAGTAGTGCTGCACTTCATATCAACATCATTGTAATATTATGTTTTCCTTGTTGTGTAACTCAGTTATTGGGTGAGTGAAATCACCTGTTGAGTTGCCTACCTATGCAAATAAATAAATAAAATAAATAAAATAGGTTATACATCGATAACTTGTTGCATAATTACAAAGAGTGTCAGTTTGACAGTTTGAATAATCCGACCGCGCAGCGGGAGGATTATTCTGTTAAACTGGCACAATTTTTAATTATGCAGGAAGTTTGAATATTTGGGAGAAGTATTCTTTTGATGGCAATTTCTCAATCAGTAATAAGTGTTCGTTGTGAAAAGTGTATGAGGAACTCTCATGATTCAAATGGTTATTATAATATGACGAAAATAGTTAAAAATTATGAAATTATTTTTATATTTATCCTGTAGTACGTCTAAAGTGTGAGAGACGTAAAAAATTCGTGGTATTCCACAATAATAGAAAATCACATGGTCAGAGTATTGTTGGCCAAGTCTAAACATTAAAATGAATTCCTATGATAATTTTTACGAATTCTTAGACGAAAATAGTATGTATGTGAGGTGACATGAGTCTGAACAAACAATAAAATGTGTTGATGGTGACCCAAAATAATAAACAATGTTTTCGAAAATTTCAAATCAAACGTGTAGGTATTTTGAATAACGTAAATTCACTTCCAAGTGTTATAAAATTTGATCAACTTCAATTTTGCTAGATTATTTGTGATTTTCTCTCGTCGTTCCTATAAAATAAAATTATGAGTATTATTCCAATATACGTTTAGTAGGACAAATCAAATAAACCAGCAAAATGAATGTACCATACTTCCTCGATTTACCTACAGACAGTATTTATCAAATCTCATTTAAAGATTGTTCGATCTATGTTAAAAACACCTTAATGGAATCGAATTTTCGACAGTTTTTTCGTGATCACAAATCGATTTTATTTTACGAAACCATCAACCATCATACGGTTGCGGTCGCGTCTAGATCAGGATAGATTATCATATTCATTAGTGCATCTAAATGCATTAGTTACGGATATATGAAGTACATGTACTTAGTGTTCCTGGTATCGTTTTTCTGGGTCCTCTATAGTACTTTTGAAAATGCCCTTTCATCGACGTACCTGAAGCTGATTCTTTCCGGTATGTCTATAATATCATATACTGCTGATATTTATCTTCAATTTGGTTTTCATTTTCTCATCGACAATTGAAAAAACTCAGTCGATCATGGTTCAAGTGAGGTAAACCAAAGTGATCCGATATACATATACCTAAATATATGAGCTCAAGCAGTATCTCGGTAAATATACGCCTACTATTGCCGATAAGAGTTCGGACACAGAAATGACAACGGTTAGGGTTTTTGAATGTTTAGATTTATCAAGTTACACACCTTGAATTGTGACAAGAGCATCATAGTCGTCCCGCGATTTTTCATTCAAAATTGTTTGAATTTGACAATTCATTTTATAAACGTCAGAATTGGAATAAAATTTCATAATTATTATACTTTCGAGATAAAAGCAGCTTTGGAAATCCATTGCTGTATAATAAATTGTGCCAATTATGAAACAAATGGATATCATTTATTCGATTTTCCAAATCAAATATCAAGCATTCGCTTATGGAAGGAAGATATGAAACGGCCTGGGTGGAAAATCAATTTGAAGACGAGCGGAATTTGTGAGGTACTCATTGAAATTCACTTCTTATAACAGCATCTGATTATAGAATGAATCTATATTTTAAGCCCATTTTCAAACAGAAGATTTCAAAATCTGTTTGAGAGAATCTGCTGTTCCATCAATTTACAAAGCAAACGATTTCAAGAACAAAATTCCATTATTATTATCACACAAAATACAAAACAAAATAATCATGGAAAAAGGGGAAATGATCGCAAAATTACATTATGAAATTGAAAATTTGAAAACGAAACTCAGAAAAGCAAATAAACTACAACGTGATATATTATTGAATGGCGTTTTTGGTGCTGACCGCGAATTGAAAATTAAACAGTGAAAAGTGAATAGATATTTATGTATCAAGGGAATTATTATAAGGGCCTTAGTTACGCTGGAGGTTATCGTTTTGGAGATATTTTCTTTATCGATCCATGTTACTTAGCTCCTGGGCGCTAAGTGAAGTTGCTGAGAACTTAACAAAACCAAGAATTTGGTAGGTCTCGTCAAAATTAATTATTTTTTTCTCATGAAATCTTTATCGAAAAATGATTTGTTCTCTGTATTTCAACACCCTGTATCTCCGAAACGAAGCATTTCCAGACACAAGCTTATATAGACTTTATTTCTTGAAATTGTCTCAGGAATACTTCACTGGAGTACAGTTTCACATACAATAAGGAATTATAGCTATAAGTTTATCCATATGTATATATTCTCTGATATTAAAATGTTGTTACATGCATTTTTTTCATTTATATAAATCTTGCTCTGCTAGAAGTGTAGGTATCACTATGAATTGTGGGTGTTTGTACCCTATATCCATTGTTCATCTACGGCTATGATTGATTTGACAGAAAATATAACCTCTAAAATCGTATCTGACAATCAGGCGCTACTAGGGAAATTGAAAAGACAAAGAGCAGAATATATGTCTTATTCTTTTATTCACTTAAACCATTGTATTATAGAAAATAGAAAAGGACAAAAGTTCAGCTGTGTCCGAACTCTTATCAAACTAATACCATACAGTGACTCTACTATTGCCTACCTATTTCTTCGTGACTAACATACTATTTAAGCTGTAATACTTATACCTAATTATTATATAACTTCCTATCTTGAAGTAGGCAATCACAGTTATTGTGAAATTAACTTCGAATGCATTAAAATGTTAAATATTTCTGTCACGCACTTTCAAATGTTTTTATCGCCGATAGATAGTTTATAAGTAGTTCGAAAATAGTTGGCCAAATTGCAAAACTTGGTGTGTGGTGTGTCTAAAACGTCATCGTTCCAGCATTGCATCACTCCATTGACGTCGATGGTGACTTAGTTATCGTAACCTATATACTCGAGCCACCATTTTTTTATAGCCATGCGTCTCCTTGCATGTTACGTTATATCAGTCTCTGATTATATCATAGAGGAGGTCTCTCATGGCTTTGTAATATTTCTTCCAAAGGCAGTGAGTGGCCAATAAACATATACCGTAGAATGGAACTTTTTTCACATACAAATACACGTGGCAAAGTTATTTTTTTTATCGCTTGGAGCGCACGAAAGGAAATCCCTATAATGTTCAAAGAATATCGTGCGTTCCTAGGGAGGATAGGGACAGGAGGTAGGTATTAGATTTTTTTTGAACTTCTGGAGATTATATGTTGCTGGGAATACTTCCTCAGGCAATGAATTCCAGAGCCTAGCCGTTCTATGGATGAAGGAGTTTTGATACAGTGCTGTTCGACATCTTTCGAGGTTGACAACGAAAGGATATGCTGACTGGGCTTGTCTAGTTCGTCTGACTGGTATTGCTAGTGAAGGGATGATAGCAGAGATTTCCGAAGAACATTTCCCGTGGAAGTATCGATAGAGAAGTGAAAGGTCGCCGACCTTTCTACGGTGTTCCATTGATGTCAAAGAGTGGGTGAGTGTGGCGTCACGCACCAGGCGAATGGCTCTTCTCTGGATGGAATTTAAGAGCATCAGCTTATGTTTTGGTGCTGAACCCCATATGTGGGAACAGTATTCGAGAACAGGCCGTATCTGCGCTTTGTAGATCATGAGAAGCTGTTGAGGTGTAACGTAGCTTTTCGCACGGAACAAGAATCCAAGTTTTTGTGAAGCAGCTTTTGCGATGGATCTGACATGATTATCCCATGAAAGAGTGTTGCTGATGGAAATACCGAGCATAGATATGATGGGCTTAGTGGGGATGGTGGTGCCAGACATTACAATATCGGGCATAGTGAGTTCCGCCTTTCTAGAGAAAATACAGGCTTAACTTTTGGTGGCGTTGTATTCAACTAGGTTGTTGGTTCCCCAGGCTGTGATTTCAGCAAGGTCTTCATTGACAGCATTGTTTCCTGGGAAGAAATGGGAATTCTGGAAGAGAACGCAGTATGGAGGGTACTATCATCTGCAAAGCTGTGGATGGGTCACGTTGTTACTCCCAAGAGATCATTGATATGAAGAAGGAATAATGTTGGTGCCAAAATTGATCCTTGTGGAATACCAGAATTGATGCCAATGGTATCAGACGATACACCGTCCACCACCACGTGAAGCGATCTGCCTGAAAGAAAACTCGATAAGAGATGGCATAGCTGAGGTGGTAAGCCGTATGATGGTAGTTTGTGGAGGAGTCCTTCGTGCCAAACACCATAGACTACAGAAGATAAACAACACGGTCGAATGCTTTCGATATGTCCAACGCGACAGCTAGAGATTCCCCGTGTTTTTATAATGAAGCTTGCCATAAATGGGTGACGTATGCAAGTAGATTTCCAGTAGATCTTCGGTGGCGTTCATGATAGGGAATCTTGCCCTTGCCCTATATCCTGAAAGATGTATGAGTATTGATGCACTATAATTATTATAAAAATATTCATCTTTGCCGGTTCGGTCGTTAGAAAGATATTATTTGAAAAATATATCTAAGTTCCAAGTTAATTACCCACAGATTTGAAGACTTGCTGCTTATAGTTTCAATACAGAGGGTGTATCTAAATAACACTGAAAAAATTCGGGGAATGTTTCCTTGTGACATTCTAGCAAATAAAGTTTACATAAAAATTGGTAGTATTGTTTTTATTTATACCCCCCCTGTATAAGCCTTTATGGTGGCAACATTCAGTATGGATAGAGACTGAGAAAGCCCCAAAATTTCAAAATGATTCTAATTGGGGTTATTGAGTAATCTCATTGGAGTCTTGGAAACACCTACATTAAAATTTGGAGTCAAATCGAATTTTTATTGCTTCCTCAAAAACTAATAAGCTAGATACAAAAATCACACATCGGATAAACAAGTTGTTATTACAATAGTTCAATCTAATAATAGTTATTTATTATACAAGGGAAAAAAGTTGTAGATTTTAGTTCCAGGTTGTGTTGTGAAAGGACGAATCAATATTGAGAAGATATTACATTATTTCGAAATCTGAAAATTATCGACGTGAAATTTCAAGTTTTTAACAGTAGGGACACCTGCGTTTTATAGGCATCTTCATCATTCTTTTGAAGTAATCAAATATCTGATGTCACTACTGTCAGTTCAATTCTGTGATTTGATTTTAAAAAATTGCGAATTCAGTAGTTGTTTAGTAATATACGAAACTGCGAAGTCGAATGGAAGATAAAAGGACTTGCAGTTCTTTCTCGGAGACGGTATTATTGACTCATTTTTCGGAACTATTGCACAACAAAAGCCATTAACAGAGTATATATATGTGATATATATCCGGGAAAGAAGTACTCACTTTTTTCCCACGGGAAAAAAGTAATTTATGAAAAGTGACATTTTATAACCTGCCAACAGAGATGAAATGCCAAACTTTTTTCCCGTCACAGAAAAAAAATATGAAACTCAGAAAACCCAGTGGTGCACAATGACATTCACCATGAATATCGATAAAACCCTCTGTGACGCCACTGGAAATATCATTTCGAATCTAATTGCACTAGAAGAAGCTCCATATTACTATCAACGGAACCACAACGTGTTATTGAAATTGATGAAAAGACAATTGAGAAACGAATAGAAAAAGATTTTTCATGGAAATATGAATACCCTGTATCTCGAAAGCTGCTCCTAAAGTGGCGCATGGAGTAAGTAACAAAGCCTACACAGAACACGCAGAAAGGTATGATGATGTGGTTGTGAGCATCAGAGAAGAAGTAGGACGGTGTATGTAGGTGGGTGTGGAAAAACTACCAGCTGAGCGTGAGAGCGGGCCAGCTGCTTAGTTGACCTCGGTCTCGGGGGTTGACGAGGATAGTTAGCAGGCCTGCCACTGCCCACATGGTAGAGAGTACATTACTAGCCTACAAAACACAGCTGAAAAACTCTGAAAGAGAGCTGATGGGCGGTGCCTGAAAAGGATGTTAGCCAGCTCTCTTGAGCGAACCACATCAGCCATTGAAAACACTTGGGGTTTGCAAAAAGGTCCCATTAGGGACTAGTTGCTGACGTGGAAACGTCCCCCACCAGTACCAGTACCAGTACCAGTAGGACACATGTTTATATGAACTTTATTTCGTAAAATATCACAAGGAATCATCTCTCGAATTTTTTTGGTGTTATTTGGATACACCAGGTATAATAACATTCTTAAAACAATATTCAAACGCCACTTATTTTCATTCGACTAGTATATAACCTTACCATAGATTAACGACCGTTAATCTATGACCTTACTGAACAACTATGCACGATACGATGTTCCAAAATGAAATCAGCTGAAGATTTTAGGGGATGATTTGAAAATATGAAGTTTGTGTTTCAATTTACTCCGCAGTTCCAAGTATTCTCATTTGACGGTACCTACCCCCAAAAATTAATCGGTTTTGAGATACAGTAATACAGTATGGATATTAAAACGTCAATATATGCACAACTCAAGAGTCAACTCAGTCCTAACTTAAGAATAAAGAGTGATAATTAGATAATTTCATAAGTGAATTCTGAATTGACCAATTATCGTATCTAACTGTTAAGTTATGACTAAATTAAGTCGTGCATGAATTCACCATCGATTACAAAAAAGTCAGACTATAAAATCGATTTTGCTGAATTTCCAACATTCCATTTGCGAACATATATTATTCATTCGCTTGATCGCTTATATTGTGAGTATGTATATATAGTCTCCAAAACGAAATCAGAGACGTGCAGTTCAAATTGAATGTCTAAATTTAGCCCCATGCCTGTTTATTCTGAGAATGTTTCCATTATTTTAAATATTCACCTGTTCGATACCTTAAGATAGAGGATAGACGAGTGATAAACTGGCGAATGGAAGATAAAATTAAGTCCTTTTGTTTGCGTTCCTCTCGTAAAATTTGTCCATTTCGAGTATTGAGTGTTCTACAATTTGTTACCAACGGTATACACATGAAGTGCGCCTACATCGTCAGATATTCTTTTCATTCATAGACATGGTGACAGCTGACGTTGTCCCATTTTACACTACATGCCTTTTTAAGGCTCTAAAATATCAACAATAGATGGGTTCCTGGCCGCCGCACGTGTGCACATCACATGGAGAAGCGCTTTTCTTTTTGTGGAGAATTTTCGTATTTTTTCGCGATATTATACTGCATGTCGTTGTAATATATGGAAGTTCAAACAAACTAAGGCGCTAATAATTGATAGCATGCAATCCGCAGCGGCCGAAAGGGCTCATGAATAGGGGTCAGGTAGTTGCCTGGTGAAAGCATTAGTATTCTTATTGCGATGGCTTGCCGGTAGTGGGTTCAAATCCAAACGGCTGCATAAATGTTTCTGATGGCCCTAGAAAGTGTTTGCGATTACACGCTAAAGAAGGTAAGGCCCCTGTCATTGCTTGCTCGAACAAGTCTCTTGAAGACTTCTGAGGGTTGCTCGTAAGTGGGCAACCGAATAACGGATAGAACAAATTTAGAACTATGTTTTTTAGTGGTGATTCCGAAAGGGTAATAAACGTTATATGGAAAAAATTGTTTTAATGAGATTTTTTTCTTCTACAAAACGTTGTCTCGATTTTTTTAAATTTTTCTGATCACTTTTTTTGACAAATGTGAATGGTTCGCAGAACTCTCGATAGGAACTTATTAAAAGAGTCCAAAATTCTGATTCGTTTCGATCCTCTAAGATAATCGAATACCTACATTTTATTTTAATTTCGTTACTCACCTTTCTGATATGCAAAGTTTCATCAATAGCTGATGAGAACAACAACGGACACGAAAACATAGGTATAGGTATTCGTTAACATTGGAAATTTTTCTTACTAGAAATGAAAGTTTCTCCAAACAGTTAGTCGAAAATATGTTATTCATGAATAATTCCACATAATCCATTATGCTGACAAGTACTGTGTAAACTTCCAAACTTCCATCAATATTTAGAATTTTGTTTTCAAACATTGGAAAGTGTTATTTTACTCTACTATTATTTTCTTTCAAACGACGGTGTTGAAAGAAGGAAATCTTACTATTTCTAGACAGTCATGAGATCCTTCGTTTCAATAAATATGAGCTCCCGTTTTGGCAAAAATGGTATGATATTCAATGATTATTGAAATCAGCTCTTCAGGAAGAATCTAAAATTGCAATGGAATACAGGGTGTCCCATTTGGAAAAATCAACTTTTTCTGTAGATCGTTTGTTCCGAGCACCCTGTATTTTCCGAGGTATTTTCTGATGTAGCGGAAATAATATTTCTGAAAAATCATTTCAGATGATTCATCCAATTTTCAAATTGGTTCAAAAATAGGTGAGCTAGAGGGGAGAGGGCATTTATGCTGAAACACCCTGTACATATCATAGTCTCCTTCGTATTCTCTAAGTTTTTCTCACCTCCTCGTTTCTCGGCGAATCGATCAGAGAACTGAAACTCGACCTGGAGCCGTGCCTGCCTATCTGGGCCTCCTCCTCACACCCCGGAAGGTCGGCCCTGCTCCGGAAAGGGCTGGACCCTGCGGCCGCCCTGCTCAGTCTGTCGTTCTCGATGCACTGCGTCAACGGTATGCCGAAGACCAGGCCTGATGAGGGAGAATTGCCGTCTGAAAATGAAAGAAAAAATAAATGATTTTTCGAATTTTACTTGGTTTCTAAGATATTTTCGAAATTTGGCAACGGTGCCTTTTACGTTGCGCAAGTGCCCTGCAGCTTCACCTGTTTACAGCGTTGCCGTTGTCTGATTGTTCAAATACCCCCTTTTCGTGGGAACCAGAACATAAAAAAAAACTGCACAGAAATCATTCTATTTATGCTTTTGCCACACCACAGCTTACCCACTCATTGCTTTGATCACCGTGGGTGGTACTATCTAGACCGCTCTATGTCACATCTCTGAGACCCTGAAACCGCTTCTGCGCAATACGCAGTAACCTCCAAACCAGAGCCGTTCATGACATCGAGCATCGAATCATGTTTGTTGGTTTTCGAAAATATAAGTAAGAGGGGGTAAGATGTATGAAAGGTCCTAAATGTTCTCCAGTTCGATCTCATGAGTGGCGTTCAGCTTATTTTTGATGGCATTAGCGGTCCAGATAGTAGTTTATGACAGTGGGTGCGGGCCACAAACAACACGACTTGTGGCATTATGTCAATGTCATATATCACAGGTCACACGGTCACTAGGTCACCATGGAACAAGTCTACAGAATCACTGTTCTGAGTTCTCAAATATCACCCAGTCGCAAGACAACACCAAGTTTATCCTTGATGATTCCAGGAAAAGTTTTGCTTCGGATCTAGGTATCAACCAACCTAGTTCGAAAGATGGGCATGTGAGATATTCAAATTTAGTCTCATCTACTGAGTCAAAACCTAGGAGGAGAGGAAGGCCCAAAAAAAAGCCTTTTAAAGATGAGCTAAAACTCTTGGTGAATAGGCCAGCACATCATGAATCAGGCAGGCCGAAACGCACCTGTGTTGGTCAATCTACTCTGCATGAAATCGCCGGCCAGCACTCTGAAGATTCACAAGAATCGAGGTCCCATAGTTGTCGAGGCTCTTGTTAGCATGAACCTGGGGCAACTATATATTTGGAACTTCAAATTTTTCTTTCAACTTCATGAAATGTACTTATACATTAGTGTAACAATTTATTTTCCTCATTATTTATCAATTTCCGGTGGATCCGACACTGTTCATAGTGTGAAATCTACTCTGTACTATATTTAGAGAAATAAATAGATTCAACTGAAAAAAAAAAAAAAAAAAAAAAAAAAAAAAAAAAAAAAAAACAACTCCTTTGGACTCGATTTTGACCCACTTCAAACAAACCGATTGATTTGAAATTTTGCAGGTAGACATAATTCTGGTAGCAATGCACCATGAAATTTTTGTTAGGCAAAAAAACGAAATGCCCGTTCCAAAATGGCGGACGAATTTTGAAATTATGATCCGATTCCATTCAAAATTGGTATCTGGAGGTTTACGAGGTCAGAAATTATGATTCTTCAGTCAAAATTGGTGAATTCAAGATGGGGGATCCAATATGGCAAATGAGCATTAATTATGATCCAAATCTATTGAAAATTTGTTTCTGGGGGTTTTTGGGATAGGAGATTATGATCCTTTCGTCGAAATTAAAAAATTCGAGATGGCAAATTCAATATGGCGAACGAGTTTTGTAATAATGATCCGATTTTACTTAACATTTGTGTCAGGGGGTTTTCGAAAGTTGAAAAATTCAAGACGGCGGATCCAATATGGTGGACGAGTTATATGATTCGATTCTATTCAAATTTGCTATCTGGGGATTTTCGGGGTCTGAGAATATGATGCTCTTGTCAAAATTGGAAAATTCAATATCTTATACGATATTGTGGACTGGTTTTGTAATCATGATCCGATTATATTAAAAATTAGTGTCTGATGGCGGTTTTTGGGATCGGAGATTATGATTCGTTCGTGAAAATTGGGTACTTACAAAAAATATATGAAGACATTAAAATACACGATTGTATCAAGCCGAACCTAAAAATAAATAGTAGTTTAAAAACTAATGAAATACATTTTTATAGATAGCTAAACTAGAAAGGGGTACAAAATTAGATAATAAAAGTGTGTTGGTGAATACACGACATAGAATGTTGTTAATTACGAAGGTGCTAATATTTTCTTGTGGATTTCTTCAGATATTAAACAACCATTCATTTTTGCCAAGGAAGGTGTTCCCCGAGGCATATAACCTCCAGAAATTCAAGAAGAACACCAATGCATACCTCATTTCCCTTGGTTCTCACGATGTTCTTTAAACATTACAGGATATCCCTTTTCGTGGGAACCAGAACATGAAAAAAGAATGCCCTCGATAATGCCCCAGGCGTTAAGGATCTGTTGATAACCACCGTTGCCAAGGTATTATAAAACAGTAATGGACAAGTGGAAGATAAAAGATTTCTATATTCTTCCTTCGATATCTTTGGTTAAACATTTCTTCAATCGCAAAAATACGACAAGGAAAAGTTCTTTCAGCTTTTCTCCGAGAAAAAAATACTGCAAATGATTTTTGTTCTCAGCTGTGTATCTCCTAGATCCCTGTCATACTTTCTAGTCCTGCAGCAATACCACATTGTCTAATCGAGAAAATTTGAGAAGATGGCATCAATCCGGCCCGAATATTTCGTTTGACATCAATCTCCTGAAGTCCAGATGCTACGATAAACGATAAATCCAGCTTGACGTCATCATCCTACCTTTCAGGTTGAATTATGCTTGTCTTTAGTGATTTTACACGTGAGATATTTTTAACTGACCTGAGACCTCCGGAAAGGTGACTAGCTAGCGGAGCATTCAACATGATTTTGCAACGTCATTAATTGTTAGAGACATGACTGGAATATAACTTTAGGATGATCACTCATTGTTTAGTCATTCTCGCTCTAGTGGATCCAGGAACTCCAGACACGCTGGACGCTGGGATCAAGTTAATGGTGATGTAATTTCAACCGCTAGTTTCTAACTCAATTTGCAAGGACACATTCAAATGATGGGTGTTTTTCCATTCAATCATTTCCATTGTCAGTCATACCTTTTTCATACTCTTTTGAAGCGCACGAAAGAGAATCCTTATTATGTTCGTAGAACATCGTTCGTGCCTAGGAAGAATAGGGAGAGAAGTAAAGTAAGTATTCACATTATTTACCTTTAATGGTTGAAAGTTCTTGGGAATTGTTCCTTTGGCAAAAAATCCCAAAGCTTTTCCGTTCTGTAGGAAAATGAGTTTTGATGAAGAGTAGAGCGATATATCTCGAGGTTGGCGGCAACAATAGGATGTGCTGACTGAGCTTGTTGGGTTCATCCTAGTTCATCTGACTGGTTTTGTTAAAGAATATTTCTCGTGGAAGTATCTACGGTGTTCCGATATGATGTCACCACCACCACCACCAACAATGATTGGAAACTCAGATCAAAACACCCATTATAAAATATGATATTCAATATTCAATTGAGATATCCAGATTATCCAGATCCAATGTTGCAGTGATGACAAGAAAAATTAATGAATGACGTTCCTGAATTGTGAATAGTCAAATCCCAGCGAGCACAAAAACATCTCAGAGATGTTAAAAGTACGAGATTTCAAGACATTGAACCTCCACTGCGATGTTCTGTTCACACATGAATAGAACTATTATATAGAACAGCCAATGTCCGCCACAGGCGGCAACTATCGAGATGTCCTTGATATGTCACAAAACTATATACCTTCTCCCTAGTTCTTTTCAAAGCCTTTTCATGGACACAACAAAACATTTTCAACGCGTCTTGCGCACGTTAAATCGCTCTAAAAAAACCATTTTTGAGGTACTTTTCTGAAGCCTTTTGTCAAAATGAACTTTTGCATTAGGATTCCATTTCCCTTGAATGATAAAATGCATTAAAAATAGATTGAACATAAAAATATTTTCTTGATATGAAATTACTTTCTTAATCGGTTTCTGAGTAGTGCTTACTACACACAGACATAAAATTGGAAATAGGTTTCCCTATTTCTGAAATGTTCTCCACAATGCATAATTTTGCAAGTGCTGTGTATTGATAAATTCGTATTTTTATATATTGATTACACTGAGGCACCAAACAACACATCTTGCATCTGATGGTCATTATTACAAACTAAATAAGTCTTCTAACACAATAAACTTCACCAAATTCCTTTCTGTTCGTTAGCAGCGTGATGTAAGCAAAACAAATCAGAATTCATCGTATTGTGACGTAAGCATGAGACGTTGTGGTGGGGCAAACAAAGAAAGGGCACAAAAGAACAAAAACAATACTTTCAATATCCTTCTAAGACCTCTTTGGCAAGTGCATATTACGCCTCAAAAAAACATCCTCATGCCTACATTATTACTAAAACATCCCAAAACATCCCAGGGATACTTCTCTCAGTAGGCAAACAAAGAAATGCCACAGAAGAACAAAAACAATACTTCAATATCCTTCAAAGACCTCTTTGGTCAGTGCATATTACGTCTCAAAATAACATCTTCATGCCAACATTTTCAAAACATCCCAAAACATCCCAGGGATGTTTGTGCTCGCTGGGATGGCGAAAATTTCTGATATCTGTGATGTTAAGAAAATTAAAGGCGCCGAGAATGCAGTAATAATTATTATTATTGTAAGTGCGTGTTAACATGTTTGCTTGTAATTTTTTAATGTCAACTTTAAGCCCACACGTGCCTTTATAGCTTCGATTTTACGAGTTTTGAAGTGTCTGATCGATTGAAAAATCTACTGATGTTGAAATGTTACCAAGAACATAGTTTTTAATTCACTGAAACTACCTTTTCTGACATCCAGTATTTTCTGGAGACCCAACAAAAATAAGAATATCACATTGAATTATTTGTTCGTAATATTATATTGGTAGAAAAATTATTGAAATTGATTGTGTAAATTGCTTGTAGATCCGGTCATGGCTTATGATACGGCTTGATGAACACGCAGAAGGAGAGTTAAGAATATGGCTTGGTATTATGAAGGTTGATTTACCTCAGAACTGTTATTCAAATGGGTTGATAAAGGTTGACTCATATTGCAG